CTGAGGTTCAGGAATGATTGGAGACCACCCAGTAGAATTCGAAATTTAGAAAATTTTATTGAAAAGCATTCCAATTCTTGAACGACCAGTCGGGCACAGACTCCGAGAGCCAATGAATGGAGTCCGACCCCAACCAACATTGGCGGGGGTGGGGGTGGGGGAGTGTTATTGGGTACTCTTGAAAAGGTCCACACAAACTGGGTGACCTTTGAATTGATTGGATAACTCTGAATTCGTCGTACGGGGGGAAATTTCATTGGTTATAGTCATGGTCAGCTGCCTGGAATGTCTCAATTTTTCCTTTTATGGTAGGGTGCCCCTATCAGCCTCTGGATGCCCTTTTATGGTCAGGAATTTCATTTGGTTTCTGTTAGACTCAGGTAAGCAAGGCATGTCCAGGCTTGCCTAATCTTACCCCGTAGTATGGGGCAAAGGAGACTTACAAGTTCTAGGAACAGAGACTTAAGGCTGACAAGATGGAGGCTGCTAAAAAAATGAAGCCAGTGTGACCTGGATCCTTCAACCCCAAATCAGCTGCAGTTATCTGGGAACTAGATCCGACAAGAATCTGGGCCCGTGGGTTTTGCTTTCTCATTATGGGACGTGATCAGATCCAGATTGTGTCAAGCTTTGTCATTCAGGAGAGAGACCAAATGAGTTTGAAAAAGATGGCTCTCGCTTGTCTGCCATTTAGAACAGGTAGTTTCCCTGCCTGCAAAAGAGCTGAACCTGAACTTGGGTGCTGGCCCTGTGGAGCAGAGTGGATGAGAACACATCGTTAGGGACGGTACCAGAGGCAGACAACCCAGCACCCCTTCTCTGGGTCTGCCCATCCCTTAGACATGGGTGAATTCTGACTGAAGCAAACACATGACACTTTTGCCTTTTTCCTGCTCAGGCAGAGACATGTGACCCCAATTCTGACGAATGGGATATAGAGTTCCCTGGGGGTGTCTGGGAAAGGAATCATAACTCCTAGAAAGAGATGCAGCCCTTTCACCTCTGGAAACAGCGTGCAGGTGTTTGCCCCTCACTGTGGCAGCCCTGTTGAGAGCACGAGGCAGATGATAGTGAAGAGAGAGAGCACTTGGGTCCTTAACATCAGACTTAACCCACCTGGGAGCTGCTTGGCCTCTGAAACCCTGCTCAGGGAGGTGAAGATGCTTTGGCTGGGCTTTCTTATTTGCAAGCAAGCCTTCCACAGGCATGTTCTTTTTTGGGGGGGTGGGGGATAGCGGTTTATTGTGGGGGATCGAACTGCTGTACTGCCTCTTGGGATCAGAGAGACAGCAGCCAGCAGTGGAAGTCAGATGTCTTTTACAGGCAGTTGGATGCTTGGGTAACTTTCCATGACCTAGGCTGGGCAGTTTAGCTTGGGATTTGTTGGTCTCCCAATAAGCAGAGGGACTTACTGGGGCTGTTTGAACCCACTATTTTAGAATATTGGGAGCTGTGCCACCATTTTAGAAGTCTGCCAGGAACCCAACATTCCAGCTTTTTGTTGATGATAAGGGGCAACGGTGGTCTTTCTTAGGCTACTTCCTGCTGGACAGGGATATCGGCAAAGAGGGGTGAAATCAAAGGGCTGGAACATCAGTCTGAAGTATGAGGTCAGGAGGGCAGGTGGTGGTAGGAGACCTGAGGGGATTTGGTTAAGAGCATCTGGTTCACTGACTGTTGGGTCATCTCATTGATTCTGTCTGGAACTCTGTCAGAGGGTGAGTGGGATAGAGGAAAACAGATGAACACATAATCTCGGGCCTGATACGGTGAGTGGCAGGAGCTGGCATAGGCAAAGTGGTCCTTATCACAGTCAGGAGTGCCTAGTCATCAGTTTGGTTTGGTTAAAGGAGGAACCGGGTCACAGGAAACCCAGGCATTCCTCTCGGATTTCAGCACCATACATATGGAAGCATGCAGACAACTCCATGGGGGACAGCAGTTTACTGGGGAGGTGAGGGGTGAATCAAACCACTGGATTGCCTTCCAGGATCAGAGACAGCCACAGGCATGTTCTTGATAGCTCCGTGTCTTCTTGGGCAGAAGCAGTAAGTTCAAGGCCTAGCCCCTAAGCAGAACCAGGCAGAACCCCATATGTATCAACTCCACATGGCCAACTACCCAAGCTGAGGCCTGTCCATGGGGTCCATACTTTCTGCTTATATCCAATATCACAGCATCTCAGGAGAACCTGCCATCCCCAGAGGAGCTCATCTCACCCAAGCCCAGAGAACAGCCTCCCCAGGAGACCACTACAGCCTCTTCAGTCCCATGAGTGAAGGAGATTCCAGCCCCTCAGGCCAGCCCTGGATAAGAGGTTTTAAATGTCACTTAGGGGTTAGAGATGTGGTTCAGTTGGCACGCACAAAGTCCTGGGTTTCATCCCCAGCACCATAGAACCTGGGTATAGTGGGGCACACCTGTCATCCCAGCACTCCAGAGGTAGAGGCAGGAAGATCAGAAGTTCAAAGTTGTGAAGAAAGACAAAGTCATCATCTGAAAAAGGGTAAATCATGTGTACTCACTCCAGCAAAAAGTGGGATGTTGAGATCTCCCCAGATAGGAAAAATTAAGTGAGTAACTCCTAGAACTCAGATATTAAAAATAAGAAGGGGCTGAAGCGATGACTCATTGATTAAGAGCAGTGTCTGTTCTTGCAGAGGATCCAGGTTTGGTTCTCAGTACCCATATGGTGGCTGACAACTATCTGTAACTCAGTTCTAGGATCTCCAACACCCTCTTCTGGCCTCCACAGATATTGCACGACATGGGTGCAATTACAAACATGCAGGCAAAACACTCAATACACATAAAATAAAAATAAATGAAAGCAAATTGAAAATTAGAAAAATGAAAAAAGAAGAAATCTCATGGCCAAAATGACTCAATCAGTATGTCCCGAATGTGGAATATCTTTTATGTTTTCTTTGGGGGGAGGGTAGGAAGACATATATAATGAAGTAATAGTGGCCAAAGAGTCTCAATATGCTGAAAATGTCTTAGCCAAGTCTAAGGAATGATAATCCCTGAGTTCAGCATAATTAAGACACCAGTACAGGCTGGAAGGCAGCAGTGTAGCTGAATTAGTGAAAATACAATAAAGGTTCATTTACACCTGCTGGTGAAGATTTGCCTGCTTCAAGTCTTTTAAAGATTTCTTAATAAATACTTGATGATAAAAAAGAGAAGTTCAAGGTTATCCTTGGTTACTGAGGAGTTTGAGGCCCACCTGGAGTTAGAGATTCTGTCTCAAAAAATAAACCCCAAAATGTCAGCATTCACATCTAAAAAGATATGGGGAAGTTAGCTTCCTGGGGAAAGATGAATTCCATCCCATTTTATCACTAGAAAGCATGCCAACAGGGCAGAACACTCCATTAACAAGTGTTTCACTCCCATTTGTTGCTGTGATAAAATACCCTGGCTACAAGAGAAAGGATTTATTGTGGCTCACAGTTCCAGGTCACAGCCTGTCACTGGGGGAAGTCAAGGTGGCAGGTACTTAAAGTGACTGACTTATTTAAGACAATCACACACACACACACCCCCAGCAGACATGCCCACAAGTGAATCAGATCTAGCCAGTCCATCCTTGAGACTCTCTTCTCAGGTCATTCTGGGTTGTGTCAAGTTGACACTTAAAGCTGACCATCACAACAGGAATACCATCACACATCTCCATATGTGTCCTCTTAACAGCTAGCTGATGTTTCTGCCCATCTGTCTGGTTGGCTTGCCTCCAAAGACCATACTCCAGAGTCCATGGTTTGGTCCTGTTCACCATGCATCCTGCAGCCCACAGAGTTTCACCAGGCACTTGGGTGACAGTAGTTGATCTCAGGATGAACAAAGACTCAAAACTGATCATCCTGTTCATCACCTCCTTCAGAGACTTGTACCCTGATATCACCAGCCAGCATAAATGACATGTGGACTTCAGTGTCATCCAGGCCAAGGTGGCAATAGAAGCCATGCAGCCATTCCTGTGGGTCATTTCTGTCCCTTCCCTTCTTCCACTCTTTTTTAAAATTTTATTTATTATTTTTATTTTATGTGTGTGTATTACCTACATGTAGATAAGTGCACCCATGTCGTGCAATGCCTGTGGAGGACAGAAGAGGCTGTCGGATCCCCTGCGACTGGAGTTATGGACAGTTGTTAGCTGCCATGTGGATGCTGGGATTCGAACCCAGGTCTTCTGCAAGAACAACCATTGTTCTTAACTGCTGAACCATCTCTCCAGCCTCCATTTCTTCCACTCTAATGCATAACCCATCATTGACTGACTACTTTAAATGAATGAATGGGTGTCCTGTGTGGGGTGGTTGAAGCCAGGTCAGCTGGGGCCTTCCTCACCTATGAACTATGGGGTCCTAATTACAGCTGCATGAAGACAGGTACACAAAGACTGGCACTGTTGACCTGGTTTTTATGAGGTTGGGTGTTGGAGGGGTACCTTCTAGCCACAGGAGAGCCTCTGAGAGAATCATTTTATATTTACAAGTGAAAGAACCCCCTGGGGTCCCCTGTCTGAGGAGAAGTGCCCCCCCCACCATAGCCTCCAGATGCTGTCTCTCCACCAGCTCCCATAGCAATGACTGTCTCTTCTATGCTTTGCCTTTTTAAAATGAACTGAACCACCATGTGCCCAGCTGGCAAATCCAGGCCCAGTTCAAAAAGCATCAGGTCTGCATCATCCAGAAGCCATTCCTGGCTCTCACTGCATGCTGGTCTTTCCCAGTGTTGCTGAGACACCAAGCAGGTCCCCACCTGCCCCATGGGCCATGGCATGTGACTCCAGTCCAACAAGGACTACAGACTAGTTGAGGTTTTGCATTTTGGTGCATTTTCAAACCCAGATTTGAAATTCAACCCAGATCTCAAGTCTGTCTTGAGTGGTGTTCAGCTTTCAACATTCTGGGGGCAATTTGGATTTAATTAATTTCTCTTGCCTTCCAAAGTAGAATGATACTTTTTTCTTTCTTTCTTTTTTTTTGCAGTTTCCTGGCCCGAAGCCTTCTGGTGGAAATATTGAGCAGGGGAGGGAGTGTTTCCTCCTAAGAATTCACATAAAGGGAATTGTTGCTTTAGGGGAAGTGGTGGGTTTCTGAGCCTACAAGCAGGGCTGCAGGGCTCTGATGGCAATATGTATGTGAACTGATGAACTCCACAATGGGTCCTGCCATGTCATCTGGTGTGGCTGAGACTGGTGATGGCCTTTGAGGGTCAAGTGTCCACGCATCAATGCTTCTGTGCTGTGCAGTGACCCAGGTGAGGGGTGTGTGTGTGTGTGTGTGTGTGTGTGTGTGTGTGTGTGTGTGTGTGTGTGGTGTGTACCAGCTATTACAAGTCTCCATATGCTGGTGGTACAAACTGATTTTTTTTTCCTTGTTTTTGGCAGTGCTGGGGATAGAAGCCAGGCCTCACACATGCTCAGCAAATGTTCTACACTGAAACACAGATCTTTTTTAAAAAATTGCTTTTTGAGACAGTGTCTTATTAAGTTGCCCAGGCTGGTCTTGAACTCACTTCGTAACCCAGGCAGGCTTTGGACTCATGATCCTCCTGCCTCAGCCTCTTGAGTAGCTGGGATGACAGGTCTAGCTTTGAACAACAGAAATCTTCAGTCTTACAGTTCTAGCACTCAAAATGAGACCCTGACTCAAAAAGTAAAAAGAGGGCTGAGGGCAGGCTGCAAATCGCTCAGTAGGTAGGAGCACATGCCACCAAGCCTACCTTCCTGAATTTGATATCTGAGACCCACAGAGGGAAGGAGAGAACTGACTCCTGCAAGTTGTTCTCTGACCTCATCATGTATGCCATGGCAGGTGCATGTCCCTGTTAAGGTTCAGCTAGCCCTGCCCCCTCACCAACAGGGTCTCAAGGACTTCTCAAGCTCCTGAGAAAAGGGAACCTAGCTGATAAGCGCCCTGGTCTTTGAAGTCAAGAGAAGCAGACTTTTCTCCACTGTTTGGCCAACACAGCAGGCTTCCCCTTTGATCTCTAAAGAGAACAAGTTTTAACAGTCCTGCTCCCCCCCCTCCCCGACTGCCCAACTTAAAAAAAAAAAATACATCTTCCCACCTTCTGCAGGAAGCAGAAGCCTCCCTTTTTAAAAGACCCCAGCTCATGACCTGGACAGACATTTTCCCTACCTGGAAGGGAATCTGTCCCATGTGTTCTTTTGCTATTAAACTCTATTCCGATGGAGTCTTATCTGTGTCCTAGTGCATTCTCCTGATCAACCGGATTCATCCATAGGCTACTTTTATCTATCAGTCCCCAGGTAAATAAATAAATAATAAATAAATGTAATATTTTAAAAAGAGGGCTGGGCATGCAGCTCGGCATTACAGTGTTTATCTAGCATGTACAAAGTCCTGGGTTGGATCCCCACTGCCAAAATAAAAAAACTCCACCCTGCCCCACCCCCCAAAGCAAGCAAAACAATCCCCAGGAGAAGTTAGTAGGGAAGGAACCCCAAGAACTCTCCACCCCCTCTGCACCTAGTGAGGCTGGGCATCTTTGCAGAGCTTTGCTGTGCTAAGGGGTTTGAAGAATCAACACTTGAGTTTTAAAGCCACTTTGGGAAGTCCGGTAAGGCATTTCCCCTCAGGCCCATGACAGCTGTGATGGTCTCACTCCAGGAAAAGACTGTGGCCCAGCCCTTGGGGAGAGCAGATAACTTGGGAAGAATGTTCTGGCTTCAGCATCAAGCATCCCTGGTTCCCATCCTGTTGCCCAGTAGCTATGTGACCTTGGGCGCATACTTAACCTCTCTGATCTGCTAAGTGTAACTTGTAGAAAATGTAACTGGGTGAGAACATGTCTTTCAGAGCCTCTAGAGGAGGTGATCAATGGCACTAGTGTCTTTCTTTGTCTTGTTCAGTTGAGTTACTCCAGAGTTGCCCTACAGTGGCCAGGAAAAGTGTCCTGTCACCATGCATTCATGCTCCTTTCCTGTCCTGAATGCCATTCATATCTCTAGGCCTGTTTCCCATCTCATGTGTGAAGTCATAACAGAGCTACCATTCTGGTAGGCTGTGCTAGAAAATAAGTAATGGAAACTGGGGAGATTCCTCAATCAATGAAGTACCCGGGTGAGGTGGCACCTGTGATTGCGGTCCTGAGGAAGTGGAGATAGGAGGATTCCTGGTGCTCACTGGCAGCTCTGGCCAAATCAGGGAGCTCCAGGTTCAGTGGGAGACCCTGCCAAAAAAAAAAAATAATAATAAGGTGGAAGCTGCTTGTGTTGGTGCATGCTTTTTATCCCAGCAGGAGGCAGAGTCAGGCTGATCTCTGTGAGATTGAGGTCACCCTGGTCTACATAGTGAATACTGGGCCAGCTGGGGCTACAGGGAGACCCTGTGTTAAAACAACAACAGCAACGGGCTGGAGAAATAGCTCAGTGATCGAGAGCATTGCTCTAGCAGAAGACCCAGCACCCACATGATGGCTAACAACTGTCCGTAACTCCAGTTCCAGGGGATCCTATGCCTTCTCTGTCCTCCACACATTGCACTATACAAGGTGCACGTACACACATGCAGGCAATACACTCATACACATAATATAACATACACAAAACAAAAAAGTGGAGAGTGAGGAAGACACCGAACACTGACCTCTGGCCTCCACATGCATGTCACACACACACACACACACACACACACACACACACATACACACACACACACACACACACGAGAAACAAAATAACAGTGATCTTTGGAAAAGCAAGCATAACAGAAAGTCCATTCTTTCAGGGGGCAAAATGCTGGCTCCCCAACACCTCTGGCACGTGTGTATTCTGCACTCTCTCTAAAGACATTTGGTTTCCCCTGGAGGAAACAAAGCACATGGGTTTTAATCATCAGCCACAGCATCAGCATCCATGTGCTGATAAGGCATTCTGGGGACAGAGATGCCCTGCACACACTGCCTTACCTCTAATGCCAAGCTATCTTGGCATGAGGTTGACAGCTCCCTCTTGCAGAGAAACTAGTGTGCTAAGGGATCCTGGGTTGGACATTTGACCAAGGTGGTCAGTGGGAGCACCTGCCTCTGACTGAGGATGCAGAGATTGGTTAGCTCCAGAGGTCTGTCCATCAGCATCAGCAGAGTGATTTAGGCCTTGGAGCATCCTACCGCAGATAAGGATGGAGACAAGGGAAAACAAGACCCCAGGGGCTGCCTGAGCAAAGATGGCTCTGGCTGAGGGCCCAGCCAAGAAGCGGAGTGAGAACGGGAAGCCACCAGCTGCCACCAGGCTGTTGTGGGTGTGGATGGTCTCTCCTTCTGGTGTTGTGTGAGCCTCACCCTTGGGATCCTGTAAATGACAAGTACTTCAGCTGGACCGTGGCTGACCTGGGGGAGGGGATGGTTTGAGGGCTTCTGTTTAAGGTATTTTAATGGGAAGGACTACCCTAGCTCTGCCTGATGACACAGACAGGGACAGATCCCAGAATAGGAACCAGCTGGAGCTCCATGTGGAGAAAAACAGAGGTCAAACATTTATTTTTCTCTCTGCTCTCTGCATGTTAGCAAAACAAGCAGGAGGGGAGGAAGCACTGGGGAGCTCAAAGAAACAAAAATTCCAACACATGTGGGGTTTAGGGACCAGCTGCATCCTGTCTCACTTCTGTGGGATTAGAAAGACCTGAGACCATGTGACCACCAGGGACATGAGTCTGATCAGTCCACCTTCCACTGAAAAACACAGAAGGCTCCATTGACCAAGGTGGTGGGCAGGTGGGAGGACTTGAGCAGAAAGGCAGGCTGAAGGCAGGTGGGAGGCTGCAGGCATTTCCAGGGCCTGCAGCTCAGGCTGGGAACTGGGGTGAACCTCAGTGATAGAGAGCTGGCCTGATACGTCTGAGTAATACGTCTGAGTACTTGCAAATGAATGAATGAATGAATAAATAAATAAATAAATAATCCTGGGATAGTGAGAGGGTTCAGCAGGTAAAGGTGCTTGCAATCCATACTGACAACTGAATTCAATCTCCAGGACCCACAAAGTAGGAGACCTATCCTTGCGCATTGTGCTCTAAACTACGTGCCTCCCTCTCTCTCTCTCTCTCTCTCTCTCTCTCTCTCTCTCTCTCTCATAATCCAGGTCATTTCTTCACAAAGCAGCAGCCTCTCTAGCATCCCTAGGCTGTATTCTGAGAGTACCACAGACAGCTCATACCTCATTCATCCTTCTCTGTCCCCAAACCAGCAGTGACCCTGGCCTGGGCTGTAGTGGCTGGGTGGGGGCTGTGGCTTTCTGGGATGTTAGGGTGGAAGAGGAAGGTGAAGACAAGAGTTGCTGTGAGCTGCTACCCTTGGGGCTTGTACATTTTTTATGTGTTCTCTCTGGCATCAGAAGGTTTGAGACTGTTTCAGATTATCTATGAATAAATTTCTCTTTGGACAGTCAGGCAGAAGTGGAAGAAGTCTCCGGAGCCAGGGGAGCCCTCCAGGAAAATGGCTGCCAGAAGCTGGGGACTTGGCTCTGAGCTGCATATTCACGGCCAAGGCCTCTGCTTTGCCATATGAAATGAGGGTCTAATAGCAACCAGGTGGGCCAGGAGGGGCCCAAAACAGGACCCCCCCCAACTCCAGGCCCAAGTAGATGTGTCCTCCTCACAGGAAGAGTCCAGAAAATGAACCCCCAAATATGGTAGGCTGCATCCTGCTGGAGAAGAGTGTTTGTCCCCTTGAGGAAAAACATTTAAAAAAAAAAAAAGATTTACCACAGGAAATGGTGGTAAATTGCAGAAAGCTGTCTTATGTTCACAATAAGACTCAAGAAATGTGATCTTAAAATGAGATAAAAATTAGATGTGGAGGCTTTGGATCTAGGCAAGGAGGAGCTGGCAGACACCAGGCCCCAGTGCAAAGGAGCTTGGGGTGTCTAGAAGGGCCCACCAGGAAGATAAAGATACAGCCCCAAATGGAAACCAGCACCAAAGCCACAGAAAACAGAGCTGAGCTGTGGGAACTCAACTGATGATGTCAGCGAAGGGGAAGGTCTACAGTATGTTGGCCTAGAAACCTCTGTTAGGCTGAGCTTTGAGATCCTCACAGCTTTGTGTCCTCAGGGTCTGAGGTGTCAGTCCCACCTTGACCTCTAAACACAAATCTTGGTAAATGTGACAGTTGATCTTGATGTTCACTTGATTGGATTGAAAGATCCTGACACTCGTGACCTATACCTGTCTGTCTGGAGGAAGGGGCATTTCCAGGGACCAATGATGGGGGACAACTGGG